AAAACTGGTTGAAACCACTGCTGCTCCCTTGTGCTGACACAACTAAATCCTGACTCCTGGTCTCGCCTAATGTTTCCACTCACCTATGTTTCCCATGCAAGTGAAGACCCAGTTGCAAAGCACTTCCACACACCTGCACACACCTGACTGTGCAGCACACGTTGCTTGTTGTGGTGCTTTTATTCACCAGCTCCCTTACAACGTTTAGTGTCATCTCTCCACACCCTCATACCTGCAGACACAATGGTCGAAGGAGGTGGTGACTGACCTCTAACATCTCACTGATGGGAATGTAAAATGGCATCAGCCACTTTGGAAAGCAGTTTGGCAGTTTCTTAAGTTAAACACAAGGCTATCATATGACCCAGCAATTCTACTCCTATGGAAAAATATCAAGAAAAATGAAACCATTATGTCCACACAATGACTTTTCCATAAAGACTTTGTAGCAGCATTATTTATAAAAGCCTAAAGTAGAAACAGTCCACAAGTCTATCAACTAGTGAATGGATAAGCAAAATGTGATATATCCATATAAGGGGATCAGATTCAGCAACAGAGAGGAGATGACCACCGGCATGCCACAACATAGGTGCACCTCCAAGACTTACAAGAAGTGAAAGAAGTGAGGTGCAAAGAACTACACACTGAGGGATTCTATTTACAGGCAATAACCAGAAAAGGCAAATCTCTACAGGTAGAAAATAGACTAGGGGTCATCTGGGTCAGGGAGTGGGAACAGGAGTTGACTGCAAACGGGGACAGGATGTTTTTGCAATGAAAGAATTAGTCTAAAAATTTCCTTATAGTGATAGTTACACAATTCTGTAAACTTTTTCTAAAAATCATTGAATTCTATGAGCCAATTTTATGGTGTGTAAATTATACTTCGACAAAGATGTTAAGGAAAAAAGATCTCACCAGATAAACAGCCATTCACAGGGGCCCTTTGGTGTCCCACACCATTAAGGAATGAGAGAGTACGAGGCTGACAGGACAGAGGGGCACTCTGCTGGCATCATTGGCTCTGCCATTCATTTGTGTTTTGGGGTCTGAATCCTGGGGTACCAGGCAGGGTGTTCTAGCCTAAAACCAGTGGAGTGACTGCTACTTGGCTCAGCAGCATCCCATTCACCTCAAAGTGTCAACCGAAAGGGCTGAGGTGCCTGCAGCTTGGGTTCAAGTGCAGGTATTTGTGGTGCATTCAGTGTTTCTCCCACAGCAAACTCCTGAGCTGGGATAGCCTGACTGTGCCCAGCTGGACATGGCGGACATTCTGAAAACAGAATTTCAGGAACAATTATATGAACAAATTAAGAGTCAGCCTGATTTTGACAACCCAAAGACTTCAATCGCTTTGAGGAAGAGCAAAAAGGGAGGAGACTTGGTATAAGTTCTCTGTTGAAATGTACCGAATTCACATAAAAATAAGACAATTTGCTAGGCAAACTGCTAATAAAAAAAAAATACATACTTTTTTTAACTAAAGTATCACTGATACACAGTCTTATGTTGGTTTTAAACATACAACACAGTGTTGCAACAGTTACCCATATTATTAAATCCTCACCCTGTCTAGTGTGGTCACTATCTATCAGTGTAGTAAGATGTTACAGAACCATTAACTGTATTCTCCGTGCCTCACTACTATCCCCGTGACCAACCTATATAGTAACTGCAAATTTTAAAGGCTGTGTCAAATCTACTTAAGAAACACCCACTGGGAACACCTACTGCAAGGATAGATATTCTGACTGTAATTCATTCTTACTGAGGCATGAGAGGGTGCCAATGAGATTTCAAATTGCAGCAAATTGTAAGACCTAATTCAAATTACCTCTCTTCATTTAACATAGTGACAACTGTATTTCTCTTATAAAGGTTAACTACTGATAACAATTAGACTGAAGGAGTAGTGTCTTCTATAATAGTCTTAGAAGTACTCAATTTTCATTCTGCAAATCTCAATTTAGTAAACTAATATCTGATCTCAGAGTAACTATTTCTAAATTTGCACATCTCCTAGCCATCACACTCTGTCTGCAATCTTGACCTCATTATATGGGGATTCCTGACTAAAGGACCCCATTACTAAAAGTGTTTATGAAAATCATCTCCTGAGTAAAATGGGGAAATTTTGGAAGAAAAAGAAAAACAACTTTCTATACACTTTCCATTCTACTTTATGTTCAAAAACATGTGAATTATAAGAAATCTTATTATTATTAAAAACCAATACTGTTTCATTTGAAAGTACTGAAAATGGTTTCTTTTCAACATATCCTGTAATTTCTGAATAATTTTCATCTGGATAGAACAGCCTCTTTTTATATCCTTCACAATAGTGACTCTCTAACTTTTGATCTCAGGACTCCTTTCCACTCTTAAAATTTATTATGAACTTCAAAAGCTTTTGTTTTTGTAGGTTATATCTATGTTTTCTGTATTAGAAGTTTAAACTGAGAAAAAGTTTAAATATCATCTAATTTAAAAGTAGTAATAAGCTCAATATCAGTGTAGTAAGATGTTACAGAACCATTAACTGTATTCTCCGTGCCTCACTACTATCCCCGTGACCAACCTATATAGTAACTGCAAATTTTAAAGGCTGTGTCAAATCTACTTAAGAAACACCCACTGGGAACACCTACTGCAAGGATAGATATTCTGACTGTAATTCATTCTTACTGAGGCATGAGAGGGTGCCAATGAGATTTCAAATTGCAGCAAATTGTAAGACCTAATTCAAATTACCTCTCTTCATTTAACATAGTGACAACTGTATTTCTCTTATAAAGGTTAACTACTGATAACAATTAGACTGAAGGAGTAGTGTCTTCTATAATAGTCTTAGAAGTACTCAATTTTCATTCTGCAAATCTCAATTTAGTAAACTAATATCTGATCTCAGAGTAACTATTTCTAAATTTGCACATCTCCTAGCCATCACACTCTGTCTGCAATCTTGACCTCATTATATGGGGATTCCTGACTAAAGGACCCCATTACTAAAAGTGTTTATGAAAATCATCTCCTGAGTAAAATGGGGAAATTTTGGAAGAAAAAGAAAAACAACTTTCTATACACTTTCCATTCTACTTTATGTTCAAAAACATGTGAATTATAAGAAATCTTATTATTATTAAAAACCAATACTGTTTCATTTGAAAGTACTGAAAATGGTTTCTTTTCAACATATCCTGTAATTTCTGAATAATTTTCATCTGGATAGAACAGCCTCTTTTTATATCCTTCACAATAGTGACTCTCTAACTTTTGATCTCAGGACTCCTTTCCACTCTTAAAATTTATTATGAACTTCAAAAGCTTTTGTTTTTGTAGGTTATATCTATGTTTTCTGTATTAGAAGTTTAAACTGAGAAAAAGTTTAAATATCATCTAATTTAAAAGTAGTAATAAGCTCATTACACATTAACATACATCTTTCTTTAATCAGATACACCTCTATTTTTAAAAGCAAAATTAGTCAGGAGGGTAGTGCTGTTTTACAAATCTCCATTTTGAAAATCTATTTAATATGTGGCTTAATGGAAAATACCAAGATTCTCATACTTGCTTCTACATTCAGTTTGTCACAATATGTTGCTTTGGTTGAAGTACAGGAAGAAAATCTAGCCTCACATAAATATGTAACTGGAAAAGGGAAGAGTAATTGAATAGGCTCTTCAAATAACTGTGGTCAATTTTGTTTGATACTATACCAAAACTTGACAAGTGATACTTTCTTCAAGGTTAGCTGCTGTGTGGAATCTGAAACTGTATCAATGAACTTTTCATACTCAGTTACATTAAAACCCATTGGTATACTTCCACACACACACAAACAAAATCACATTTGTTAATTTGACCGTGGATCTCATCAGAAGTCTTTTAAAGTATTGATAAGCTGTCAAGTTCACTGAGGTAGATACAAGTTTTCCCAAATTCTTATTTTTACTTGGAAGCTCAGATTTTATCTTTGGCAACAAGTACTGTCAGGTGTTTTCCTTGACGTGGTAGGCAGGCTCACTGAATTCATTTTCAATGTATACTTGCGGTTCAAGATGTAATAAAATTCATAAAGGACATTCTTGGAGTGACTAGTTCTTTTAAAAAAACTGTGTGTGTACTCCAGCCTGACTGAGCTAAAGCTTCAGCAGTTTTACCTAACTGCTTTTGAGCCACCAGTGTGTAAACCAGCAGCATTCACAAAGCAAACAATGTCTCAGTGTCACGATGGAAATAGCTTTGACCTTATGGGCCCATTGAAGGGATACTGACTGACCCCTTCGGCTCCTCAGGCCACACCTGGAAAACTGCTGTGTTACCATGTAATAACCGACCTACAACCACCACTCAAATCACCAGGTGGCAGCTGCTCCTTTAGGTTATCCATAAGTATGACCCATCCGAAGAACATTAATACAGGTAGAAGGCTACTTCCACAANCTCTCAGAGGCCTGGGACAGCAGCCGCCCCGAAAAGCTGCGGGAGTCTGTCTTTGTTGTTTTAGAGCACAAATGAGGCACATAATGGGCAAAAGTTATTTTGCATTCTGATTCTTAGGAAATCTTGAAGCACACGACTTTATCTTCATCCCAGCCCCATCTCTGTCTCAGGTCCTATGTCCCAATGAAATTTATAGGTCGCTGTGCTTACTGGAGAGGAAACAGAAAGAGGGTCTCGTGTCCTGTGTTTTCCATGACTCCAGCCATCTCTGAAGCCTTGCCACTGCATGAGAGAGCCCTGAAGCCCAAAGAGACCGCCTGTATGTCTCTCCCTTTGGCAGGGGCAGCAAGATTTGTCTGAGTGCATCATGTGGAAAGGCCAGCCTGAGGACGGCCCTACAGGTACAAGTCTGTGACCCCCTGCTCAATCCTGCAGGTGCACGTGACGGTGCAGTCAGTGTGAACAAGGGCCAGCTGTGCTGCTCCCCAGTCCCGTACAGGAAGCGACCATTCAGACCCAAACCATCGAAATCACAGCAATGTCTTACTCACCCAGAATTTTACCAGGAAGAAGGCATTTTGAGGGCCCTTTCCAAACAGTTCCTTTAAGCCACCTTTCTTTTCAGGAAATTTGTCATAAATCTGACGAATGTCCACTGATTCGAGCAATGGGTCACTGTAAGAATGGTTGGCATGCCCAATGTGCACGAAGAGGTGTTTGTTGTACTGTAAGAAACCAACAGAAACAATCCCATTACAAACCCTTTGATCATTCTGGGACACACCATCTTGAACTGGATAAAGAGCAGTGATCTTGAAATCCTGGAATTATGCTTTGAGTAGGCTAGGGTCTGTGCCTTTGAAAAGATTAAAATACTAGGAAAAACCATTTTAGTTAGGGATTAAAACAGTTACTATCTTTTCTGACAATGGCATATATTTTTCTAAATGCCTAAAGAAGATTTTTTGTAGACACAGTAGTAAATAACAGCTTAAATTACCCAACTACCAACCCAAAAACCAGTTCTACCCCCAGTTTCACCTAACTCAATTGTAAATGACAACAACATCCTTTAGAACCCATTACTTACAGTGTAAGCCCAGTAAGAAGTATGTGTGTGGCTAATAGCATTATCACCTAGAATACACTTCTTGCTGTGGCTCCCCTAGCAACAGCATGGATGCAGTGCTGAGCAGTGATACCCACCCAATTCTTTCAGCAGAAGGAAGGGTGTCTGAGCCTTTTTCTCACCAGTCTAAAATTTCTGCAAAAGGGCTGGTCAATATGTGGTTGTCAGTGCAAAATTAGGGTCAGGAGTATAGGTCATTGAGTAGATTCATGGTACAGGGCCAATAAAAAAGAACACAGGTCACTCATTCATGAAAAAGCAAACCAACCAACCAACCAAAACCTGTTTAGTTATTTCACTTTCAAAAGAAACCCTTCTCCTTGCTTTGGTATGATATGATAACAGGACCACAAAGGAGTGTGTCCAAACCAATGGTCCTCAATCTAGGCTGCAGAAAAATCACCAAGGAGCATTAAGGAACATTTAAAATCTTTAATGCCTGGACCCCACCCAGACCCCATTGGTATCCCTGAGAATGAGGCACAGCAATTTTTCATGTTCCTTCAGTGAATTCTAATAGGCAGCCAACTTTGAGGACCACTGGCCTAGCCTCTCTATGCCAGATGCTCCATGCCTGCCTCTCTTGCTGAATAGACAGTAATACCATCCTAATGTGACACAGATAAAGACATGTGGAGGTGCAGAGATTCCAAGGAACTAAGACCCAAAATGGTTCATAAGAGAAACCAGAGAAACCTGTGTCCTTACGTTACCTAGCAGTTTGTTTTCACTTTTCAAGTTTACATTGGCATTTCTCTAACTAGAGTCCTTGTAAGTACTCATAGATCTCATAGGAAATGAAAAGTTCCAAATAAAAGTTTGAGCAAAGCTGCCTGCCAGAAGAGTACTATATACTAGTTAAGACTACAGGTTCTGGACTCAGTCAGCTCAAGCACAAAACTTTGTACTCACTGCAAATCAGCTATGACAATGGGCAAGTGCTTCTCAGTTTCTAAAATGGGGAATGTTTGCATCCACCTCCTAGAGTTGCCATAGAGTTCAACTGAAATACTGCATATGAAGAGCTTAGTACAGTTCACAGATTCAACAAAGAAACAATAAATGCTAGCTATAATTATTATTTATAAAATATCCCTTCTTTGAGATTCCTAGTAAATATTAGCATATTAAAAGCACTTCAGTTAACAATTTTATTCTATGAGGCCAGCATCTCCCTGATAGCAAAACAAGATGAAGACATTACAAAAAAAGAAAATTACAGACAAGTATCCCTGATAAACACAGATGCAAAAATTCTCAACAAAATACTACCAAACTGAATTAAAAAATACATTAAATGGATCATTCACCACCACCACCTGGGATTTATTTCAGGAATACAAGGATGGTTCAATACCTGCAAATCAACCAATGTGATACACCACATTAATAAAAGGATAAAAACCATATGATGATCTCAACAAATGCTGAAAAAGCATCTGATAAAATTCAACATCCATTCATGATAAAACTCAACCAAGTGTGTATAGAGGGAACATCTCTCAATATAATAAAGACCATATATGACAAACCCATAGCTAACATCTTATTCAATAGTGAAAAGTTGAAAGTTTTTCCTCTAAGATCAGGGAAAAGACAAGAATACCCATTCTCACTATTTTTATTCAACATAGTAGCAGAAGTCCTAGGCATAGCAATCAGACAAGAAAAAGAAATATAAGGCATCCAAATTGGTAAGGGAGAAGTAAAACTGTCACTATTTACAGATGATAAGATACTGTATACAGAAAACCCAAAAGACTCCACCAAAAAACTATTAGAATAAATCAATTCAGTAAAGTCACAGGATACAAAATTGATACACAGAAAACTGTTGTTTCTATATACAAATAACAAGTTAGTAGAAAGAGAAATTAGGATGACAACTGCATCACAAAGAATAAAATATGTAGGAATAGATCTAACCAAAGAGGTGAAAGACCTATACTCTGAAAACTTTTAAAACACAAAGAAAGGAAAGGTATTCCATGCTCATGGATAGGGATAATTAATACTGTTAAAATGGCCATACAACCAAAGGCAATCTACAGAGTCAATGCAATCTCTATCAAAATACCAATAGCATTTTTCATAGAACTAGGGTAAATAATCTTAAAATTTGTATGGAACCACAGTAGACTTGCAATCTTGAGAAAAACAAACAAAGCTGGAGGTATCACAGTCCCTGATTTCAAACTATACTACAAAGCTATAGCAGCCAAAACAATACGGTACTGACACAAAAACAGACACATAGGTCAATGGAATAGAATGGAGAACCCAGAAATAAACCCATGCTTATATGTTCAATTAATATATGATAAAGGAGTTAAGAATATAAAATAGGAAAAGACAGTCTCTTCAATAAATGGTCATGGGAAAACTAGACAGCTATGTGTAAAAGAATGAAAGTGGATCACTGTCCTACACCATACACAAAAACTCAAAATAGATTAAAGACCTTAAATGTAAGATCTGAAACCATAAAACTACTAAGAGAAAACATAGGCAGTAAACTCTTGAACATGAGCATTTTTTTCTGAATTTGTCTCCCCAGGATGGGAAACAAAAACAAAAATAAACAAGCAGGGCTACATCAAACCAAAAAGTTTCTGGACAGCAAAGAAAACCATTAACAAAATGAAAAGACAACCTACCGAATGGGGGGGATATACTTGCAAATGATATATCCAACAAGGAGCTAGTACCCCAGATACATACAGAACTCATATAGCTCAACACACACACACACCAGAGAATCTGACAAAAAATGGGCAGGACCTGAACAGACATTTCTCTAAAGAACATATATAGATAGTCAACAGATACATGAAAAGATCTCAGTATCACTAATAATCAGGGAAATGCAAATCAAAACCAAAATGAGATAGCACTCACACAAGCCAGAATGGCTGGTATCAAAAAAATAAGAAACAAGTGTTGAGGATGTGAGAAAAGGGGACCCTCATACACTGTTGGTGGGAATGTGAATTGGTGCAGCCACTGTGGAAAGCAGTATGGAGGTTTCTCAAAAAACTAAAAATACAAATATATGATTCAGTAATTCTACTTTTTGGAATTTACCCAAAGAAAACAAAATCAATAATATAAAAAAAAGTATGCATTCCTATGTTTACTGAAGCATTATTTACAATAGCCAAGATACAGAAACAATTGAAATATCCATAGATAGATGAATGTATAAAAAATATGGTACATATATACAATGGAATATGGAATATTACTTCACCTTAAAAAATGAAATTCTGCTATTTGCAACAATATGGATGGATTTAGAGGGTATTATGCTCAATGAAAAAAGTCAGAGAAAGACAAATACTGTATGATTTCACTTATATGTGGAATCTAAAAGCAAAACAAATGAATAAACAAAAGAGACATAAACTCATAAACATAGAGACTAGAGTAGTGATTGCCAAGGGGAGGAGGGGAATGGGTGAAGGGGACAAAGAAGTATAAACTCCCAATTATAAAATAAATTAGTCACAGGGATGAAAGTACAGCTTAGGGAATACAGTCAATAATATTGTAGTAATTATTTTTGTTGGCCAATGGGAACTACACTTACCATGGTGAGATTCAGTAATGTATATAATTGTCGAATCACTGTTGTAACCAATATTGTGTATCGAATATATTTCCATTAAGATAAATAAAGAAGTGAATGCATTGTGGTTAAGAAACATTTTTATAATTGGTATAATCCCAAGTTTCTTAAACTCATGTGTTCACAAAACCCTGTAAATATATCCTGAAGAAATGCTGGTCTAAACCTAAGACTTGCTACCCATGCTGTGGCTCTCTGGCCACACTTCCAAAGGGTAAGAGGCCCAGCGCCCCATCTGATACCAGCTGTCCACAGTGCTTCACTTACGGGGAGTATGGCCAGGCCCTTTCACCTTCTGGGATGGGGCCAAGGTCCTTTCTTGCTCAGCATCAGACTGCTAGAGCAAGGCTTCAAAATCTCTTAAAGGCATCAGGTGAAATGTAAAAGGGCTCTGGCTTGGACCCCACCTCTGTTCCAGCTACCTGGTAGATTTCAGGTAAGACTTAGCCCTGGGAACTGTGAAAGAACAAAGTATGTCTGTGCCGGAAGAGAATCAAAAACATAAAGTGAAAGCCCTCCTGGGTGAGGGGGGTGAGGTCACAAGGGGTGGTGGTGGGTCTTGGATCTTTTCGTAAATTTTCTCAAATGCTGTCACATCACCTTTTCAATTAAAAGCAAGCAAAAGCCCACAGAAATGTACAAGGCGCTGCTGCTATGGGGCTTCCAGTTTCATTAGTGGACTGATGGACTTTCACTAGTAGACTCTCAGTTCTCACAAAGAAGAAAAAGTAACAGACCAAGTTGGGGGCACAGACACTGGTGTAATGGCACTCAAAGAGGAAAAGATGGGTGAGGGGTGTCTGGCTCTCTGTTCCTTCTCTAGTCACCTGCCATTACCAGGGCTGAGAGCAAAGGCATTGCTCCTTCATTATCCATTTTCTGCAAGTCCATCCATCCAACTCTTAATAGCCTCTGGTTGCAGCAAGCTCTTAGCCCTCCCTACCCAGGTCTGAGAGGCACCAGGTCTG